ATCTCCTGGAAATCTGTTTGCATCTGTTTTATGGATTCCACTTGTTTCCTATGTTGGGATTCCATCATGTTCCTCAGATCCTCTATTTTTTTTATGTGTCCTCTCTACGTTAATCATGTCTTGCACCATGAGCACAATCTTTGCTGTTATCTGAGTGATTATTTCTGATTTCATTTTTCCCAGATCCTCTTTTGTTGCCAGTTCCAGGTGGTTGAGTATCAGATCGTTCCATCTCTTTTCCCTTTGGGGTTGCTCTAGGTGATCCAGAAGTCTGTTTTTGAGGCTTGTTTACATGTCTTCTCATTTCCATGGGGGGGGTGCTTGTGGTGCCCACGTGGCTCACCTTCTCTGCCCTAGTAGCTTGGGATGGCAGTGGGGGGGCTTCCTTCTGGGTGCTGGGACCAGCTCAGCTTCTCTGCCCTAGGAACTTGGGATGGTGGCAGGGGAGCTTCCTTCCGGGCTCCAGATATTCCTTGTTTAACAACTGAGTTCTGTTCCTGTGACTAGGTTGTTAATGAATTGGGTGCTAAATGAGAAATTGCATATCATATGTACAACATTCAGAACAAAAAAAAAAAGATCAAAGGAAACTCCAACTTGATGACTTGCTTTTATTTGCATAACTCTTCCATGTAGTGCTGTAATGTAAACAGAACATAAAACTGTACTACTGTACTGAACAGTAGGCAAAAATTAATGTATAAACAAGGTGTACTGTAGAAAAAGATGAGGCTCTATAAACAAGATGTACAAAACTATACAAAAAAAGGGACAGATTGTATGTCCAAGCAGTGCATCTTAAGTCCAAACAGCGCACCTCCACCACAAATCCTAACAGTTGTTGAACAAGTATGTCATTAAATGAGGAATATCTGTAGCATCATATTCCTTTGGTTGAAAAATTCACTTTAAATATTTGTAAGGCAATTCTGGTGTTGTTAAACTCCCTCAGTTTTGACTGAGAAGCTTTTCTTCTCAATTTTTCTTTTTTTTCCGGGTACCAGGGATCAAACTCAGGACCTTGCACTTGCAAGGCAGGCACATTGCCACTGAGCTAAATCCCTGGCCCTCCCCCTCAGATTTTGAAAGAAAGTATTTCTAAGTATATTTTTCTTGATTTTTTAAAATTTTGGGATTTTGAATGTAGTGTCCCATTCCTCTCCACCTGGGAAGGTTTCTGTTGAAAATTTGTTGATACTGTTATGGAGTTTCCCTTCTATGTAACAAGTTGCCATTCTCTTGCTGCTTTCAAAATTCTCTGTCTTTAGCATTTGGTTCTGAAGTGTATTGGCATTGGTAGGTCTCTTTGAATTCGCCCTCGTGTCTTCTGGTCTTCCTATGGATTTCTACTTAATTCCTCATACTTGGGACACTGTGTTTTTTCTTTAATGTTTTATGTCACTTTCTCTACTCTACCTTTGCTGCACCAATAATAGCTAAGTTGCTTCTGTTGATGGCATATCATGACTCCCTTAAACCTTCTTTCATACTTTACACTCCTGAGATTGGATAACTTCCAGTGACTAGTCATCAAGTTCACTGATCTTTTCTGTTTGTTCTAGTCTGCTGTTGCAACCTTATATTAAAATTTTCACTTAAGCCAGGTGTGATGGCACACACTTGTAATCCCAGCACTCAGGCGGCTGAGGCAGGAGGATTGCTGCAACTTCAAGGCCAGCCTTGGCAACACAGTGAGTTCAAGGCCAGCCTAAACTACAGAGCGAGACCTTGTCTCAAAATTTTTTTTCACATTAGTAATATCATTATTAAACAGATTTCTCTCTCACATATGTGAAGCACACACCCTACCACTGAGCTATATCCCCAGCATGTTTTGATATTTAAAACTTTCTACTGGAAGAGTAACAAAATATCACATATCACCTGTTTTAAAAAGACAATATTACCTAGTAAGGACTTGACATAAAAATGATGCTTATATTTAGTAAAGTTCTAGATCTAAATACCAATGCAGAGGAATGGCTAGAACATATTAAATTACATGTAAAGGGCCGGGGATTTAGCCCAGTGGTTCTGCCACCTGCCTTGCAAGCGCAAGGTCCCAAGTTCGATCCCTAGTACCCAAAAAAAAAAAAATTACATGTAGGGATGCAATTAGCAATTTCTAGACTAAAATACTCTACAGAAAGAACCCAATTTGTTTTGTTTTTTGTGCTAACCTAAGCAGAGTGATGGTGAGTAGACAAATGCAGTGACCACAGAGCTATGACACTTGGTAATCAGGACTGCAGTGCTGATTGTTGACTGCCTTGATAGGGAACAACACAGCATGGGTGGCATAGTGCATTAGTCATTGATATCTAGGGGATAACAATGTTTATGCGTGAGAAAGGATAGCAACATGTTAGTGAAAACCACAGAGGGCTGTGCAGAACAAGGCGAATGCTCATCAAAACTTGTTGGTTCTCACCAAGGAGAATTTCAGTGTAATACTGAACCAGCCAACAAAGAGCAATTAGTTAAAATCAAGAGGACCTTGAGGATGTTTGGTCCATTACATTTGTGTCAATGGTTTCAACAGTCTATTGATCACCTTACTAATTACGGATAGATAAGTAACCCAGAAACACTGGAACAGTCAAAACCATAACATTACTAGACAGGTGAGATAGACAGCAATTTATAATACACACTCATAGTCAAGTCCTATGCAGGCCCACATAGGGACTGCCTTCAGGAGAATACACAGTGAGCAAAAGGTTAATGGCATATAGTATCAAGAATGTGAGCCGGGCATGGTAATGCATCCCTGTAATCCCAGCAACTCAAGAGGCTAAGGCAAGAGTATTGCCATGAGTTCAAGGCCAGCCTGAGCTATATACCAAGTCTCTTGACTAAAAAAAAAAAAAAAAAATGTGAGGGGGCTGGGGATTTAGCTCAGTGGTGTTGTGCCCACCTCGCAAGGGCAAGGTCCTGAGTTTGATCCCCATTACCGGAAAATAAATGTGAGAAGCTCCTTGGTTCCCACAGGGTGATGTGTTTGATTCCGAATCATTCTTTGGCCTGGGAGGGAACATGAACACATTATACTAGAGGCTATTAAACTTTACAACTATTCTATAATGCTATAAATGCTGTGTACTGCAACAATGATTATATACATTTTAATTACAAATCACATAAACTTATCCCAGAGAAGCAATATTGTTTTCACATATGAAAAAACCAACATAGGGCCGGGGATTTAGCTCAGTGGTGCCACCATCTGCTGAAAGCACAAGGGCCTGAGTTCGATCCCTGGTACAAAAAAAAAGAAAATATTCCATGTAATATACATGTCTATCTCCAGTGAGATGAGAGAAATGAAGGTATATACACTTCCATATACTCCAGGGTGTTTCTCAATAAGTTCTTTCAATAAAACTGGAAAAACAGATGGCCCTACCACATTTCTTGAATTGATGAAGATTTCATCCAGTGTAAGAAAAGCTTTACCACAGCTCTTTTGCTCACAGGGATTTTCTGTAAGTCCTTTTGTCTTGAAGAAAACTGCAAAAGTTTAATACTACCCCATTCCTTATTCAGTTTTTATTCCTGTATGAGTCCTTTAGTGCAACAGAATAAAACTAGAACTTGTGAATCACTTGCCACATTGCTTTCATGAATATAGCTTTTCACTATGGATTTTTTTTTTTGCAGTAAACACTGATTTGTCAGGAAATTGACAGTAAGCAATTATTTGTCACAAGGTTTTTTTTATATTCACACCCAAGTCAATGAGAAAATTCTGAAACAATTTCTTCCAGAAAAAACATTCTAAGTTTGGCACTAAATTTATCTTCACAATTATTCTCCTACAGTAGGCAGAATATTACTATTTCCACTTCATATCTGAAGAAACTGAGGCTCAGAAATTAAATAATTTTCCCAATAGTATTGTTAGCATAGCTAGAACTCAATTAGGTCTGTAGACATTTTGGTTGGTGTTCTAATTACTTGACTCAATAGTATCTCCAACTATGGCTATTTTTATGGTTTTGAAAGGTACTAGGCAAATAAAATGTATTTCAACATTCCTTACATTCACAAAGCTTGTCGCAATTGTGAGTACTTTCATGTATAAAACAAGAACTGAAATGTCACACACCCAGAGGCTTTTATTTCCAAGGTGAGTACAACCAGCTTTGAAGGAAACTGAGAAAATGGAATGATTACCATAGCTTTTACATTCAACTTTTTTCCAGTGTCAATGCATTCGTGCTTTTGAATGTGACTAGAAAAAATGAATTTATCACAATCTTTGCATTCAACATGATTTTCACCATTATAAATGTCTTACTTTTCTCCTTGCTGGGACAAAATACCCAACACCCAAAGTTAAAGGAGGAAAGGTTTTTTTGGCTTATAGTTTATAGAGGTTTCAGTCCAGTCGGCCAGCTCCATGGCAGGGTGGCATGGCAGAAAGGCATTTCAGAGGAGAAACCGTCCACAGCAAACAGGCAGGTTGAGAGCACATTAGCCCTTTTTGTCCCTTATATTTATGTAGGCTACCCACCCTAGAGCAGGTATAGTAGCACTCACACCCTTAATTCTGGCCAGAACTATACCAAACCAATCAGTAGACTGATTTAGTAATCAGATACCCTTGATCCCAGCACCACACCCTCTAGATCCAGCCACCTCTGAAAAGCCCCATGACTGCATGAAGCTTTGGGGGTACATCTAGACACAAGCCATTAAGTTTTTCATGTTGATGAAGGGAATTGTAATAAAAGGCTTTACCCCTACTGCTTCCATTAATACTCTGTAGTATGAATTCTTTCATGTTTTCTACGGTTGGAGGATGTGGAGAAAACTTTACCACACTGTTGGCATTCATATGGCTTCTCTCCACTATGAATCTTTTCATGTCTTCGAATGGAACTGATACATGTGAAAGCTTTACCACATCGTTTGCATTCGTAAGGTTTTTGCCCACTATGAGTTTTGCGATGTCTTCTAAAGGAACTTCGATGACTGAAGGCTTTACCACACTGGTCACATTCATAGGGCTTTTCTCCAGTATGTGTTCTTTCATGCTCTTGAAGTGTTGAGAGACATCTGAAGCATCTCCCACATTGTTTACATTCATGGGGCTTCTCCTCCGTATGAGATCGTTTATGACAATGAAAGGAACTAGAAACACTGAAGGTTTTCCCACATTGTGTACATTCATAGGGCTTCTCTCCAGTGTGAATTCTTTCATGTCTTCTTAATAAAGAGGGAAAATCAAAGACTCTCCCACATATCTTACACGTAATAGGTTCATTTCTAGTGTGTGTTATCCTGTGTCTTTTAAATTGTGTGCCAGAATGAAAGGCCTTACCACATAGTTTACAATCAAAGGGCTTTTCTCCAGTATGACGTTTTTCATGTATAGAAAGGTAATGTGAACCACTAAACAACTTACCACAGTATTTACATTCATATGGCTTCTCTCCAGTATGAATCCTCTCATGTATTCTAAATAAACTAGGGTACAAAAAGACTTTCTCACATAACTTACACTGAAAAGGTGCCTTTCCAGTATGTGTTACCATGTGTACTTTGAAAGCTGTGAAAGAAATAAAGCCTTTCCCACACTGTTTACATTCATAGAGTTTCTCCCCAGTATGAGCTTTTTCATGTCTTATGAGTGAAAAGGGGAAAAAAAAGGGTTTCCCACATACCTTACATTTAAAACGTCCATTTCCAGTGTGTTTTATCATGTGTCTTTGAAATCCTGAGTTACTAGAGAAGGACTTATCACATTGGCTACATTCATAGAGCTTCTTCCGAGTATGAAATTTTCCATATCTTTGAACAGAACTGGAATAAGTTAAGGCTTCCCTACACATACTTTTATGTTGCTTTCCAGTGTGAATTACTATGGGTTGCTGAACACTTGTGAGAGAAATGAGAGATTTCCCATGTTTTTTAAATTCATAAGGCTTTTTTCCATATTCATCACTTTTGTATACTTTGTGTTCAGAGTGAGGTATGATGTGCCTGTTAAGAAATAAACAACATATGATGAGTTTACCACACATATTGCATTCACATAGCTTTACTCTGGTACATCGAGATTTGGAATCTTGGGCCTGGGATTTAGCTCAGTGGTTTCGCCGCCTGCTGCGCAAGCGCAAGGACCCAAGTTCAATCCCCGGCACCAAAAAAACAAAAAACAAAAAAACAAAAAAAAAGATTTGGAATCTTACTGAAATTTTCTCCACATTAACTACCATCTTTACATTTATAAAGTCTCTACCTTATGACTTCTGTAAAAAATGACAAGCATATTATTAACTGTGGGGTTATTAGTGATTTTTTAAACATAGTAACACTTCTTAAGACTTATATTACCACTAACATCAGGAAAGAGTAGGTTTTATGACATGTCCACGTTGTTTGAAAGTAAATGGATTTTGACTAATGTGCAACTGACTTCCAATAGCTATTGTCAAAATAGTGATAGCCCTAGATGCAGTTTCTTAGTTCTGGCCAGTCAACTATTTTGAAAACACTGAACATATGCTACATTGAAGTATATATTTAAGTAAATTTTTTCTGAGAATAAAAGCATATGAAGTTGTTCTTACATGCTGTGCTTGCTTCCTTTACAAAAATATGAAATGCTAAAATATGTTCAAAGAACACTCCTTCCTGTTCTGAATATAAATTACCTTAGATTTCTCAAAGCCCTTTTGTTCTGATCTTCAATGTTCTGATCTTCCCATTTGTTTCCTAAAATGTAGGCATAGAAAATCCTTATGAATTATTTTGAAGAAATACTAGGTTCTAGGTGAATTATATACTGCAGTCATGGCTGATTTATTCACAAAAGTATTCCCTTTTCACACTCTTCACAGTTGACCAAAATAAACACTTCTTTTCTAAGTATGAAGTAAAGAAATGGTGACATTCTTGCCTATAGAAGCCAGGTTCTTGAAGACTTCCAGCATCACATCTCTGTAGAGAGTCTTCTGGGAAGGATTCAACAAAGCCCACTCTTCCAGGGTGAAGTTCACAGCCACATCCTCATAGAACACAGGATTCTGAAACATGCCACATATGTGGTGAGGGCTGAGTGAGATTTGAGACACTAGTAACCAATACTCAGTATGTAGATGTTCACATGATTCTGTGATCTCCAAACATTTCTTCCATGATATGGCTATCAAAATTTACTCTTGACCTGTATTCACAACTATTCTGGCACTAGAATTAAATTATTCAGAAAGCAGCAAAAGACTACAAACACCCTTCTCACTGATATGATCCCAGGAAGTAAAGTGTGTTCTTGGATCTTCCCTATCTTCTCTCCAGTGAGTACATCTCTAATACATGCCATAACAAAATCCTACTAAGTACTATAAAGAGAGATAATATAATAACATCTGGCAGTACTAATCCCTAGAAATGTCTGCTAAAAAATATGGACCTTTGCTGGCTTCAGAGAATTCAGCATTTCAGAGGGATCCCAATAATCTAAGCAATAAGAATAACCTGGTATGGCTAATATCCAAAGTATATTCCAATTTTCCTTCTAAAATCCTATTGTTTGCTTCCACTTTCACAGCAATGCCTAGAGCATTAATCTGGTCACCAAATATTCTTGACACTGAGTTCCTAATGAGCATTCTTAGCAAACAGTATTTCATGCCTGTTGTCATAATTTGTTAATTGGAGATCAGATGAGATGCTGTGTGATTACAGGAAAAGAACATTTGGAAGTTTGCCAGTTAGGTAGTCCAGACAATATTTAGCCCAATACCAAATAAGACCAATCCTCAATAAAGAGGACAATTAGAAAATTTTTATTGTTTTGTGTTAAACCAGCATGAATAAAGTGAAATGCTTTGCGTTCTTAGAAAAAAATTCAGTATCACTAAGATGGTACCTCTTCCAAATGATTAATTTCCAAAAGACTTCTTAATCAACAGAAACTACTTTTGCAAACCTTATAGGAATAATGAATATTTAACAAATTCCATGCCCCACAAAATTTCCTGCCTAGATTGAGGAGTAAGGGTTGAGAAGAACTTATGAAATAAATCATAACCAAACAAAATCTAGGATTCTTAAAAATGAGGTTAAATGACAGATAAAAAGAATGATTTCCCTTGTTCTACAGCATACCATCCAAATACCATCAGAATGCATATGTAAGAGCACAGCACAATTGAAAGAACTGTATGTCCTAGATTTAATTAAAGAGGTACTAAGAACACAACAGCAGATTTAGCAACATCAGTGAGGTAGACAAACGTAGAAACACACATAGGGATGAGTCATAAAAAAATACAAAATCTGCACAAAACTACAGTTTTAGATTGTCAGAGTAGTCAAAATTCCCCAACAATAAAAAAAATGACAAAATACTTTTCTGATGAAATCTACATAAAGCAGATCTTCTTCCAATACTTAAAAAAAAAACTGAGGAGCAAAAATTTCCAAACTCATTCTATAATAAGGCCAAAATTATGCTGATACAAAACAAAGAGTAGACCAGGAAAAAGAAAAACTAGAGACAAATATTCATTATGATTACCTATGCAAAAGTTCTCAAATGCCAGCAAGCCACACTTGCAGTTATATTTAAGGGATCATACACCACAACCAGCAAGTACAAGGAAGGAAATTTAAAACATCAGAGCAAAAATCAATGAATTTAACACTTAAAAACATACAAAGAATCAATGAATCAACGAGTCCTTTAAAAGGCTATAAACAAAATGGACAAACCCTTACCCAATCTTATCAAAAAAAGGTAAGATCCAAATCAAGGCAATCAGAAATGGGAGAATCACAATGGACACTGCTGAAACTACTTTGAGAAACTACTCCAATCAATTGAAGGATCCAAGAAAAAAAAGGGTATACATGCCTAGATACATATGAATTACCAAAAGACAACCAAGATAAAACTGAATAATCCAATAATAGCCAATGAAACTGAAGCAGTAATAAAAGACAAAAAAACTATAAATTAAGAAAAGCCTATCACCTGATGGATTTACTACTGAATTCTCTTAAGAATTTCTGGGAAGGTCTAATACCAATAGTTCTTAAAACTCTTTAACTGAAAAAGGAAAGTGGGTCTGGAGTTCAATCCCTGGCACCCCCCAAAAAAAACAAAAACAAAAAAACAAGGAAGGAGTATTCACAAAGTCACTCCTGAAAGCATTGCTGCTTCCAAAGCCAGAAAAGGACTCAACCAAAAAAAGAGATCTACTGGCCAAACACTTTAATAAACATAGATGCAAAAATCCTCAGCAAGATACTGGCAAAGAGAATGCAGCAAGTCATCAAACACATAATTCATGACCAAGTAGGCTTTATCCAAGGGATGCATGGATGGTCCAACATAAGACAAAAATCACATGATCATCTCAATAGATGCAGAAAAAGCCTTTAACAAAATCCAATATCCATTCATGATTAAATACCCTGAAAAGGGCCAGGGATTTGGGTCAGTGGTTTCGCCGCCTGCTATGCAGGCTCAAGGATCCGAGTTCAAAACCCGGTACCAAAAAAAAAAAAAGAAATAATTCATAGAATTTATGAAAGCAAAAGGCTATGTCACTCAAATGTTCAACTGCAATGAAACAGGGCACTTCTGGAAGAGGATGTGAAACAGAACCTACATCATGCCAGAGAAAAAGGCACTGCAGGTTACAAGACCATGAAGGACAGAGCAGTGTGCAGATGCAAGTGCCAATTTGAAGATTAAGCCACTACTGGTGTACCATTCTCAGATCCCTGGTGCATTCAAGAAACAGAATAGTGGAGTGCTAATGCGAAAGCTTGGATCATAAGGCAATTGCTCGTGGAACGGCTGCACAAGATGTTCATACCTACCATTAAGAAATAATTTTCTGGGCTGGGAATTTAGCTCAGTGGTTCTGCCACCTGCATCCAAGTGCAAGGACCCGAGTTCAATCCCCGTTACCAACTCCCCCCAAAACAAAACCCCAAAACCCCCAAAAAATAACACATATGGTTTAAAATGGATTAACATTTACATGCAACCTTATGGGGAAATTTGATTCAGTTCGTGACCAATTCAGTTAGAGACCAGATTTGTAGAACAGATTAAGTTCATGAACCAAGGTACCACTGTATGTCCAGAAAAAAAAAGTCAAATTATCAATATTTGCAAATTATACGATCCTTAACATGGTTGATCCAAAATACTCCACCAAAAGACTTCTAGAATTAATAATCAAATTCAGTAGCATGACATGATACAAAATCAACACACAATAATCAATAGCATCCCTGTACACCAATAAACAACTCCCCAAGAAATATATTAGGAAAACAGTACCACTCACAGTAGCACCAAGAAAAATTAAATACTTAGGAATTAACCTAACCAAGGAAGTGAAGCAACTCTACAATGAAAATTACAGTACTGATAAGGGAGATCATAGTGGACATCAGAAAGCGGAAACATATCTCCTGTTCCTGGATACGCAGAACCAATAATGTCAAAATGGCCATACTTCCAAAGTTGATAATATAGATATAATATAACCCAATCAAAATGTCAACAGCATTCCTCACAGAACTAGAGAAAATAATCCTAAAACTCACACAGAACCAGAAGAGACCTACAACAGCAGTAGGAATCCTGGGCAACAAGAATAAAGCAAGAGGAAAAAAAAAAAAAAGAATAAAGCAAGAGGGCCAGGGATTTACCTCAATGGTTCTGTCACCTGCCTCACAAGCCCAAGGTCCCGAGTTCCATCCCTGGTACCAATAAATAAATAAATAAATAAATAAATAAATAAATAAATAAATAAGCAAGAGGCATCACAATGCCAAACTTCAAGTTATACAAGGCTACAATAATAAAAATAGCATGGTACTGGCACAAAAGTAGATGTGCAGATCAATGGAACAAAACAGAGAGTGGAGAAACAACCCCAGGAACATTTAACCATCTGACCTTTGACAAAGTAGCCAAAAACATGCTGGAGGAAAGACAGCCTCATTAATATATGGTGCTAGGAAAATGACAATCAACACACAAAGCCCATATCTCTCACTACGTACTAAACTAAAAATGGATCAAAAGTCTAGATATTAAATAATCTGCTATAAATAGGCAAAACTCTTGAAGACACAGGCGATGGCAAGAACTTTCTGAACAGAACCCCAATTGCACAAGAAGTAGTATCAAAAATTAACAAATGAGATCATTTCAAATTAAAGTTTCTGTGGAGAAAAAGAAACAACCAAACATAGTAAAAGGACAACCTATGGAATGGGAAATCTTGCCACCTATTACTCAAACAGAGGACTATACCTAGAATATATAAAGAACTCAAAAGAACAGACCCCCCCCAAAATAAAAGACCCAATCCAAAAATTAAAAACTGAAATTAACAGATACTTCTTAGAAGTCCAATAGCTAATAAATAAATGAAAAAAGATTCAATATCTCTGACCATTAGAAAAATGCAAATTAAATCACTGAAATCCCACCTTACTTCAGAAAGAATAGCTAGCATCAAGAAATCACATAATTACAAATGATAGAAAGGGTGTGGGGGAAAAGGAACCCATTCACAACAAATACTAAAAAATATTAAAAGTAGGCTCTAAGAACATGGAAGACTTAAAACAGAAATGAGTAACAGAAACACAATTGGGACACATCCAAGTAAATGGAGGTTAAATCACAAAGTTGTCAATACTACATGAGTCAAAGGAACGTCTCAAAAAAAATTTGTGTATCTGAAAGCAAAGCCCATCTTATTAAAATTTGTGGAATACATCACAGGCACTGCTTCAAGGGAGATTTAAGGTATCAACTGCATACATTAGAAAAGAACAATCTAAAACGATCACTTAATACTCCACATTAGGAGATTAGAGAGAGAAGACCAAGGTAAATGTAGATCAAACAGGAAAATAACCAGAGAAAATATCAATGAAACTACAATCAGGAAATCAACAGACAAAACAACAATACCAAAATCAGGTTCTCGGGCTGGATTTAGCTCAGTGCCACTGCCTATCTCACAAGCACAAGGTCGAGTTTGATCCCTGGTACAAAAAAAAAAAAAAAACAGGTTCTCTATAAACATTAATATAACTGAAAACCTAAACTCATATTAAGAAAAACAAGGCAGAAAAATCACTGACTAGCAATGAAAGCAAAATAGCTATTAATCCTATGGACATTAAATATAACCATAAAAGAATATTATCAAGAATTACATGGTCAAAAACTTGATAACTTAAACATGATGAATTCCATGGGAAAAACAATCTATCAAAACAAACACACAAAGAGAAAAAAACAATATAAATAAGCCAATATGCCAGATGGGGTGGCACATGCCTGTAATCCCAGCACTCGGGAGGCTGAAGCAGGAAGACTGCTGCGAGTTCAAGGCCAGCCTGGGCTGCAAAGTGAGTTCAAAGCCAGCCTGAATTACAGACCAAGACCCTGTGTCAAAAAAAAAAAGGAAGATGAAACAATAGGCCAATATATATTCAATAAGTAGAATAAGTAAATGACAGCCCCCAAAAGAAAAAACTCAAGATATCTGATTGGTGGATTCTGCAAAATATTTAAGAACTGACACCAATTCCCTGTAATTTATTCTATACAACAGAAGAGGAATAAATACCTCCTAATTCAATCTATGAGACCTATGTTAACTGATTATCAAAACCAGACAGATACACTATTACTAATAAGAAAACTACAAATCAAGTACAATGGGAAACCAAATGTAAAGACCAGGACCTGGGTTGAACTCTCCTTGGGACACGGGGGAAGGGATAGCAAACACCACCCCTACCCCACCCTCGTGCTAGCATGACAGCAACAAACAGCTGAAGTCTGATTAAAGAATATACACATAGGGGCTGGTGGTTTAGTTCAGTGGTGCCGCTGCCTGCCTCACAAGCTCAAGGTCCTGAGTTTGATCCCCAATATCAAAAAAAAAAAAACAATGTATACACAGGGGTGCAGTCTGCAAATTATGAGAAACTAATGAACTTTCCCTGACCCCTGGATCACGTGCTTCTTTCTTTCTTTGTATGAATCTAATAAAAGTGAGGGGCACTGTCAGTTCAGGGCTCTTTTGTTCACTAGAGGTAGAGTCCCCTGGCCCCTCTTCCAGATTTTGTTTGTGGTTTTGGGTTGGTTTTTTTTTTGGTACCAAGGTTCGAACTCAGGACCTTGCACTTGCAAGGCAGGTGCAATGCCACTGAGTTAAATCCAGAGCCGTTATGTTTGTGGTTTTTAAAAAAAATCCTTGTCTGCCCACTGGGTCAGGAATAAACTCACAGGCTGGTTCCTACAAAGTACTCTCATAATTATAAATGCAAAATTTTTCAACAAGTATTAGCAATTCAATTCAAAAACTATATTAAAAGATTTAAACACCACAATCAACAGGGAATTATTACAGGTATACAATGCTAGTTTAAAATATAAAAATCAGGGAGCCAGGCATGGTGGTGTACACTTATAATCTCAGGAGGCTAAGGCAGGAGGATCACCCTGAGTTCAAGACCAGTTGGGGCTACATGGTGAGTTCAAGACCATCCTCATCTACAAAGTAATGCCCTGCCTCAATGCCCCCCCAGAAAAACTTTTAGGTTGAACACAGGATTTTTACTACAGTAAAACTATTTTGTAGGATACTATCATGGTAATACATGACACATGCAATTGTCAAAAGCCATATAAATAATGTACTGGAGAAGATTGAACTGTAATATAAAGGATGGACTTCAACTAGTAATAACATGTTGTTTCACTACTATCATCATCATCACACGCAGTATATTAGTTTATTAACTGTAACAAATATACTATAGAAATGCAAGATATGAAAAACAGAAAATTATAAGCTGAAAAGAAATAGAGTTTGGTTATATTCTCTATAGCACATCAATTTTTCTGAAAACCTAAAATTGCTCTGAATAACAAAGAAGTAAATAAAATACCACACCATGGAAAATCCATTAGTGTGCAAACAAGAAACCATACTACATACTACATAATACCACTTTTGTTAAAAATAACAAAAACTGGAATAAAGATATATAAATGGTTACAAAACTATAAAGAAAAGCAAGAAAATTATGATTAACAATGCAGATTCCACTTGGAAATAAATAAGATAATTTGGCCTTCAAAATAACTTCAATGTGGTAATAGAGTATAAAAACTTCTTTCCCAAATTCTGCATTTGGTTGTCATTAAGTAAATGTCCTCATTATAGCATCAGTTGATGGTGCAATTGCTTTCTGTATTTTCTGCACATGTAATATTTGTAGTTAAGTTTGCAGAATTAAACTCAATATACAAATCTCAGTGTATTTTAAAAAGCTATTCAGGGCCGGGGATTTAGCTCAGCAGTCCTACCACCTGCCCGGCAAGTGCAAGATCCTGAGTTCAATCCCTGGAACCAAAAAAAAAAAAAAAAAAAAAGCTATTCACAATGTTGTAATTAAGCTTTTAGAACATGTACATGAACCAAAGCTCTGGGTCTGATCTCCAACAATGCAAAACAAATAAACAGGTGAATAAATACATAGCTCATTAAAACTAATTTTAAGTCCTATAATATGTATACTGATACAAAATGATTATAAGATACACATGAAAGATATCAAATAGGTGCCACTGCCTGTTTCACAAGTCCAAGGTCCTGAGTTCGATCTCCAGTACCAAACAAACAAATCAAAAACAAAAAAAAATTCTCAAGCCAAAGATTTAGCTCAGTGGCACTGTGCCTGCCTGGCAAGCTCAAGGTCCTGAGCTTGATCTCCAATACTGGGGGAAGAAAAAACAAAAAACATATATATATAAAACATATAACATATATATATATATATATATATAAAACATAGATCAACATCAATGGTCATTCAAGAGATGCAGATGAACACAGCACCGAGATTCCACCTCACCCCACAAAGAATGGCTGCTATCAAGAAATTAACCCATAACAAATGCTGGCAGGGTTGTGGGAAGAAAGGAATCCTTCTCCATTGTTGGTGGGAGTGCAGACTGGTGCAACCACTGTGGAAATCAGTGTGGAGATACCTCAAAGAACTAGGGCTGGAGGTCCCATTTGACCCAGCTATTCCTCTGTTGGGTAACTTCCCAAAAGAATTAAAAGAATCATACTACAGCAATATATGCTTACCCATGTTTATAGTGGCACAGTTTGTAACAGCTTAAACTTGGAAACAGCCCAATTGCCCATCAACTGGAGACTGGATAAAGAAAGTGTGCTTTTTTAATAAAATAGAGTAGTACTTAGCCATAAAGAATGAGAAACTAGAATCATTTATAGCTAAGCGGATGCACATTGAGGCCATACTCTTAAGTGAAATAAATAGGTCACACGTGTAAATACTGAATAGTTTCTCTGGTGTGAAAAACTAAATGTGTAAATTGAAGGACCCTAGTTAGCAAGACAGACTCCATATTGCTGCTGAACGACCCACCTGCCTGCCCTTTAGATGAACTCAAAAAGAGGAAGCTTAGAAACCTCCTCCCCTTAGAGAGTCTCTTAGAAACAACAATTAATCAACTATTGTTTTACAAATGTTCTAACAACAGGATGTTCCCCTTCTGTACCTTTGGCTTGCTTTGTTAGTTCTATCCCACAGGGGGGCCTAGAAACTGCTGGCCTCAAAGGTGTATGAAATATGTTAATCTCCCCCCAGTCAGGGCTCGGGTCCGATGCTCGCTGGGGTCCCAGCTGGTAATAAACTCCTGTGTGGATTTAATATCCGTCTCTGGTTGGTTCTTTCTCACTGGGTGCAACATAAATAAGAATCAAAATGTATAATTGATATTGTGAATTAGAAAGAAAACATCTAAAGGAGAAGGGGAAGTGGGAGGGATAGGGGAAAGGAAAGAAGGGAAAAAAAATAGGAGAAAAGGAAAAAATGGAAACAAAGTCTTTGTAAATATGGAAGGGTGGAGGGGGTGAATGGAGGGCAGGGGAATGGGGGAAAAATAAGAAACAAGATACTCATGTAAAGGTACAAGATCCAAATGATGAATGTAACTATATTGTATACCTAAAATGTACCAATAAACTTAATGGAAAACATAAAATAATGCACAGGAAAAAAAAACATATATAAAATAAAAGGTCAGCCAAATATGTGCTCTTCAAAAGAACACTGAACTTCCAGTCGTTCTGAGAAAGACAACTTACTGCAGCTTTTTCACTAGACTGTGTGAAGATCATAAACTGTGGAACTTTATCCTTGCCTCTCCTCTCCTCCTCCGGGGCTCCCCATGTGAATGGACTGTGACCGTGGCCGCTCCTCTCACGGGCAGCAGCCCCCCCCCCCCCCCCCGACAACGCGGCCCGGGCCTCAGAAGGGGGTAGGGACAGGGACGGCACAATGCTCAATTTTTTAAAATTACAGTAAGACACATTGCCATAACCCCCCTCAAAATTCTCCTCACTTCAATGAAAATTCTTCATTTGCTGCAGTAGTAATTGAAAAGATATCTTCTCTGTTTATCTTTAGTAGCATTATTGAGTCTAGAACATGGAGTTTTATTCAAATCACTCAAAAGATAAGATTTCAAAAACTTTTATATATACTTATGGGAAGCAAAAAAAGTGAAGTTTTAAACAAGGGACATAAAACTAGACCTTGATTCCTTTTGAAATCCACTTTCTTAAATATGTCAGCTTCTTATGCAGTTCTGAAGAAATAAATTTCACATTACAGAAAAGGTGGGGCTCAAATAGGTGAACAGATCATTTCAAGGTGATAAACACAGAAACGGAAATCACAGAAAGGAATACAGAAGGTGGCACTGAGGGAACACAGATAACAGGGACGCACGATCATCCGATCCTCTGGGACATCTTCCCACCCTGATCTTGGTCACAGAAACACTTCGTGGTCATCCTCCCAGAAGATGACAGGGAATGACTCAGTTCACCTTGCTTTTCATATTTTTGCACCACTTACCTGGGGTGGGTTTCCATTTCCTCTGGAAGAGCTTTTCTCTCTTCACAGCTCTGAGAATGCCAGGCGCAGGAGTCATTTATAACCTGGCCCTCCACTACAGCATCTGACTGGCTATCAATGTATCCCCAAGCAACAGGAACTGGGTGGGGGTGGGGGTAGCTAGTGTCCCAAAGAGCTAGCTATTTAAGGCCTATTCCAAGAGGCTGCTCCCAGCCTCGGGTCTTCAGCTGGTTCCCTGCAAGGCTCCACCTCATACCTCACATTGCCCTCTAGGAGTTGATGCTGGGCCTGAAAATCATTACACTCTAGGTCGTGTGGAAGCTGTGGGTACCCTGTGCTAGTCCCAGACAGTTCTCAAACCCAGGACCAGGAAAATATAAGACAATGGCTGAAGACACATCACCCTGCAAAGTTTCCAAAAGGGAACTTCAACCCAAAGATATTCTGGTTAGGTATCTGCATCTAGGGAAAAAAAGGGAAGAAAGACACAAAGATTGTTTCAAGACAAGAGCTGAAGTTCTCTGAAAAAGAGGTGTCTGTTAAAGACCTTGCAGACTGTGTGGCCTAGGCTAACTAGACCACCACTGATTGTGGAGAGATGGAATTTTCTAAGTCGACAGCCAGAATGATGTTGAGCTGTATTAGGCCCTGTAATAACCAATTAACTTTTGTATATGACCAAACATTCTCATAACTGAAAGACAGACTTATTGAAACATATCAAGTTTAACACACTTGTAGCCTCAAGTAACCCTAAAGCTGAGAATGTTATAACCTCAGAGGTTGGGCATGGTGACAAATGACAGTAATCCTAGCTGCAAGGAAGGCTAAACCACAAGGATTGAAAATTCTGAGGCCAAATGACAGCTTACCAAAATAAAAGTAAAAAGGGCTGGGGATATAGCTCATGGCAGTGTGTTCCTGGATTTGACCTCATCTTGCAAAAAAGTCTGGGATGTATAATAGATTTCCCCACTTTTGTACAGCCTGCCTACATAATGACTTTCTTTTGTTCTCTAACTAGAGAAACTCAAGCAACCTTTCCCAGGGCAGAACACGTCTCTCAGGATAATTTGAATCCATGTTCTCAGGTCATGGTCATTCCTATCTGGGTGAAAGTAAAGTATTTTCTGCTCACACTTGCTAATGTCCTTAACTGCAGGGGGGAGTTGGCATTTTAGAACGCAAAACAGAAGTGAAACATGAGAGATTTACCTCCAGCCCTAGATGGAACTAGGCTTCAGGTCCTCCATTCTGCTTGCTTACATTTATGAGACTTAAGGAAAATGGAGAAGCCAAGAAAAGGAGAGAAAGGGACCCAAAGAACCAGCCTCTGCACATGAACCCCATTACCAGACCCCAGACTCCCTAATGAACTTGTCTTCCGAGCACGCTCTGGGGGATGCAGGGGACTCCCTAGTCACCACCAGGACCTGACAAGTCGGAGACCTGCTCTGACAGGACCAGAGGTCCTACCCAGATCCTTAACACCCTAAACAAAGAACTGAGTAGGGCACCGGGAAGGAGCAGCAAGGTCAAAGATTTACTTGAAAGAAAAAAAGAAATAAAGGCACCCTCCACAGGGTGGGATCGGGCCAGTGAGGACCAGCTGAGGATTCTGAGCATTAAGTGTGGTATTGAGGTTTGACCGTTGCCAAAGACCAGCTTGCCTAGGCCCCTTACCCAGTGGAGGGGCTTCTGACCTTTGATGGCACTGAAAAAACTGTCAAGGAATGCAAAGCAGAGGGTAGGAGTCACACCAGCATCGTCAATGACATGGTCGTTATGGCTGGGCTGGCGAGAATCCTGGGGCAAGTCCAGAGACTTCTTCCGTGTAGCTAAGTTACCTGGTTCCACTGTGTTCATGTAGGCAGCAAATAAGACATGAGCCAAGGGAGAGGGGAGAGGACCATCAGGACCAGCTTGTCCTAATCTGAACTGGGACACAGAACACAGCCAATCAGAAAGGGACCTATAGCAGAGAGGCGACTACAAACTAACCACAGGACAACTACAGACTTTCCTGCTCTCTCCGGATGCATGAACAGTAGATCTGATCCTCCAGCCCAAATTAACACCTCCTAAATACAATCATTAATTAGCATGTCATACCTAGGCACGGAAATTCGTAAATCTGACTAAAAACTGATGCATGATGGGAGGAAGGCACATGCGCAATCCAAAACTGAAAGCCAACCCAGGGCGCTTAAAGAACGTACAGAGGGAGGGCTACCACCCTACGAAGGAAATCAGAGGAAAATAAAAGGAATCAGTAATACAGAAAAATTAAATCTTAAGACCCCAGACTCCTATATTTGCCTGCTTCTGCCTCAGAGTGCCAAACCCCATAACCCCTCCCAGTAAGTGTTTTGTACTTGCCTTGTAACCACAACACATTCCTGTTAACTTCTATTTTGTACCCCAAACCCCCTAGCCTCAGAGAATAACAACACCTGCTGAACTTCTGCCTATGTAAAATTTCTCTCAGCTTGCCCCTGGCCCATCGCAACCTAAACTGGAGTATATAAAACCCTCCCTTCCCCAAAGCTCGGGTTCAGAATTCGGAGTGGTTAACTCCGCTGGGCCAGGCGGCTGAATAAAGCTTGGTTTTCTCCAGCTCTTCGAGTGACTTTCAGTTGCTCGTCTCCTGAAACCTAAAATTGCTGTAACGCCTGGGCAAAGGAACTCAGGGTCGCTCACTCTTTCGGCGACCCAGTTTGCCTGCCAGCGGTATCTAACTTCTACAATAAACTCTTTGGCGTCCTAAAAGCAACACTTCGCTGGCGCATGGTCTCTCACTGGTTTGAGGGACTGAGGTGGATCAAGTGCCTTCTTGGATGCCAGGGGCCGGGAGTCCGTGGAGCTGGCTGAGGGAACTTGCAGCCCTGGACGTCCCGGTCCCGGGCCAGGCTCTAACTGAGAGCGTGGATCTGGTCCCAGGACGCAGCTCCGGCCGGCCCAGAGCGCCTGGAGGCGGGGGAACCAGGGGACCCGCGCGGGGCCGCGCGGCGGGGACAAGGGGACCCCAGGGTTCCCGCGCTCGCTCTCACTCACCATCTCGGGCTTCCGCGGCGCCCTGGCCCCTCTCCAGGAACGTGCAGCGCCCGCCAGTGACAAGACGACAGGGACTGGGCACCGTACGCCAGCAGCCTGAGCACGCAACGGAGCCAAGCTGCTGAGGAAGAAGCCGCGAGGCTGCGGAAGCCCGCCCCTTCCGCCCCAGAGCCGGGTCTGATTGGACGGCTCTCCAGAGCCCGTGACGGACCGCTCCGGGGCCCCGCCCCCACGGAGTGAGGGACCGGGGGCGTCCTCCAGCCTCGGCTCCTGGAGGCGGGGACAGTCTGCGGCCAGACTGCGCCCGGCAGCGGAGCGGAGACCCAGGGGCAGGAACGGTGCGCGCGGCGCGGCCTAGCGAGCCAGCCTCCGTGAGGGCAACGGGAAACGCCGAACGGCACCGAGGACCTGGAGGCAGAAAGCTGTCTTGTTTGTTTTTTACTGGTAAAATTTTTAATAAAAATATATTTCTTAGTTTTTTTATTTTTAAATTTTATTTATATATTAATTGGTACATTTTAGGTGTAAAATACATTTACATTTATCACTGAGTGTTTGTACCTGAACGTGATTTATCTTAGTTCTTATTTTTTTCGCCATTACCTGTGCGCCCTTCACCCCCTCCACCCTTCGGTATTTCCATAGACTTTGTTTCCATTTTATTTTCTTCCTCATACTTTTTCCTTTCCTTTCTTCCTTTTCCCCTTCCCCTCCCTTCACTCCTTCGTCTTTGG